TTGTGACTCAAATTAATAAAATTCAAAGGCCTCGCATAAATGAGTCCGATGCTTTTGGCGATTGTAACCAAAACATTTTAGACAAATCTAAAGAAGTACAACCAAGGAATTCAGCACAAACTGATACAGAAATGCGTGTTTTACGTCGTTCCAGTCGCCATGTACGACCTCCTGTTAAATTAGATTTATAAGTTGTTTTAATGTTTTAATACATATTAACAAATATCTAATATGTAGTTTGCCTTAGGTTAAGTTTTGATTGGTATAGTATAGTTAACAGTTCAGTAGGAAGAAGTGCAGAGTATTGGCATAAATAATATTATCACAGTTGGACTTTAGACATTTGAACAGGTGGAGGGAACTTTTGTCAAGATGACAAAAGAAGATTGGGCAGTTTTTGTTTTTAGCTTGTCAAATAGAAACATAAAAGTATTTCGTATTGTTTAATTCATACAAGAACTTCTATTAAAAACATAATATTTCCGAAACACTTGAAGATAGGACATGATGCATAAAATGGGTTCAGAATTTAATGTAGAATTTAAACATGAAATAAAAAATTGGTGTCTTCATTTGAAAAAATAAAATTACCTATCATAACTTGTTTTTGGGCCACCCTGCATACATAATATTATCACCTAAAAAACGCCAACTAAAATCAAAAATCGATGTGTCTGAGGTTTTTTGAAAAATATCAACCCTGTATATTTTATGGATTTTATTCCAACCTTTACATGCTCAAATAGTACTGAAGCAATTTTTCGCCTTACTTCTAGAGACTGAATATTATAAGTAGTCAGCAAACACCTGTAAGAAACAAGGTAAGGGTAAATGTTATTAGTTGTGAACAAATATTCATATTTACACAATAAAGCACATTTTGAGTTTGAGTTTGAGTTTTCTAGTATCACCAGCTTCTGGACCTTCTCCAAAAGATCTATGTTGGCATCTGCCTGAGGAGACCAAACTACAGAGGCATACTCAAAGTTCAAAGTGAGACCTAACCAGAGTATTGTATAATATTACTATTGTTTTGATATTTTTAGTGTTTTGTGTTCCTTATAATAAAGCCCAATGTTTGATACGCCTTATTGACAACGTAACAATAATGATCATTGAATTTCATGTTCATTTGGAAGTTAACTTCGAGATCCTTACATTTGTCTTTTCTCTGCAATGATGTATCATTTTAGTGATGTAAAATTCCCGAAACATTCAAAAGCCGCGAACATTCTCGGAAACTTTCCGGGAATATTGGAAACTTTCGGGAACTTATGGAAATATTGTTTTTTTTTTTCAATTTATAGCTAAATCGGACAAATCGTAGTAAGCTTCATTTACCTAATTGTAGCGTACTGACTATAGACCATAGACAATAAAAAATAAAAAGACCTTCAAAAGTATAGCCGAAATAGGTTATACTATTACTGCGCATCCGGTTGCGCATAGCGCATTGCGGATTTTTTGGAAAGCTAGAGACTTACGGAAGATCAGTCCGATCATTCGATTCTGTTTCATCTTTCTCTGTCATACCAATTCACAAGACAAGGACACCGTATGAGTTAAAGAGCTTTCCTAGCTGTTTTGTAGAAACCTATCAAACATCCATAACTATAGAAACTGTGACCGAGAAAACAAATAAGTAACCTTAAAATAACGACATTTCCGTGTTGAAATTTGTCATTTTTAATCGATTGGGCGGTCGTCTAAAGAAGACTTGAACTCACAAAATCTAAAGACCAAGAAGAAGAAATTGTTATTTTTATTAAGGCACTCGGTATCGCGTACCTATAATATTATGTACAACTAGGATAAACTGAACCAGGAAGTATACATGTTAGTTTTGTGATATACGGCATATTTTTTTACTGTTTTAGGAGACCTCAGTCAGTTAATGAGCTGAGGTTTTAAATACAAAAAAAATAGACAACAGGATGGTTATAATGGAAACACAGCGAATAGTTCAATTGCGTGCAGAATATCTTCGACAAATAAAACAATTTCGTGAATTAAACAAACCCATATTCTACTTAGATGAAACATGGTTTGACACCCATGATGTCGTTCACAGTGGTTGGGTAGATGAATCAAAAAATTGTTGCTTAAATGCGCCATTCTCAAGAGGAAAAAGAATAATAATTTTACATGCGGAAAATGAAAATGAATTTGAACCAAATGCGTTGTTGCTATCAGCCAAGAATATCGCACAGTCTTCAGCGGACCAACACAAAAATATGACAGCAGATTTGTTGGAGAAATGGTTCTAAGAACAACTTTTGCCAAACCTCCAGCCAAATTCCGTTATTGTTATGGACAATGCGTCATATAACTCGTATTTCAAATAAAATACCAAATATGAGCACAAAAAAAGAGAACATTGTAAAATTTATGAGAGATAAAGGCATTACAACTCTCGAAAAAATACCTATAAAATCAGAGGTTATTAAAACCATAAAAACTTATAATTTTAAAAATGAATATTTCATAGATGAACTCTGCAAAACACAAGGCCACATACTTCTGAGACTTCCGCTTTACTATTGAATTTTCAATCCTATTGAATTAATTTGGGCTCTTCTAAAAAAACGTTTGAGACAACTTAACAGATCACCAACATCTAATGGGGCGGTACTCGATCTTATACAACAAGTAATATCTAAAATTAGAAACGACAAATGGAAAAATTGTGTTACACATGTCATTGAAAATGAAGATCGATATCCTATTTTGCCTCCAGTTGCTCCTCTTATTATTCATCCTTCCAACAGCGATTCCAGTTCTGATGCAGATTCTGACAGTTAAGATTCCTCATAGTATTTAGTTCCTTCAATATTCTGTTTTTATTTTTTGTTTGTGTGTAAAAAATAAAAAAAGTAATAAACTTTTCTGAGGCACAATCCATGCTCTGAATTCTGTGGAAATAGTGGTAAGTAGGAACTTTTATACTTCCATGTTGCTTGTATACCGACAGGTATACAAGGTTGATAAATCATCATCATCTTGAGATCTTTGGTATTAGTATGTCTAAATTTAAAGGCCAATTAGCTAATGTTAGTTTTTAGTATTTTTCAGTATTACTTCTGAGATAACTAGGTATAATTTCAATATGTGTACTATATTATTGCAATCTATTATATAACATATTTTTGTTAATTGTAACTGCTAATGGGGTTATTCCGTAATAAATAAATAAATTTTTAAAAAATATCTCCTTAACGACACTGGTGCATGTGTATTCCAAAATATTGAACTGGGTTGAGGATTATCTTTGTAATAGAAATCAGATTGTTAAACTGAAAAATGTTTGCTCCAGGGAAATTTTAGTTACATCTTGTGTTCCGCAGGGATGCCATTTGTCTCCATTATTATTCAATATTTTCATTAATGATATACAAGAATATATTAAATACTCAGAATCTCTTTTTTACGCAGATGACTTGAAATTTTTCAAAAATATTACATCAGTAGAAGATTGTCAAAATATTCAAGAAGATATAGATGGCTTGGTATTGTGGTGTGAAGTAAATGACATCGGTTCTACGCTGGAATATGCATCCCAAGTTTGGTTACCTTGCTATAATATTCACATTAATCGGTTAGAGAGAGTACAACGTAAGTTTTTGAGGTTCTGTGCCTATAAAATGTCTATACCATCGGATCACATTATTTATTCGGATATTCAAAAATTGCTTAATCTTCCATCTTTACAACAGAGACGAAAATGTATAGATATAAACACTATTTATAAGATCATAAACTGTAGTATTGATTGTTCACCTTTATTGAGTATGCTTCTGATAAATGTACCTCAGAGATGCCTCCGTAGTTTTGATTTGTTTAAGATTGTACACCATAGAACGAACTATGGCAGATCATTGTTTGTAAATAGATCATGTGAATTGTGTAATGTTTATTGTTCAAATATTGATATGTTTAATTCTAGTCTACCTCAACTAAAAACTGCAATGAAAAATAGACTGTTTTACTGTGATGTTAGTACGCCCTAAGTTATTTATTTATTTATTTGTTATTATCATTTTTAGCTAAATTAATCTTAATTTATATTGTTACATTATATTTGTAAAATTTATATTTGTAAATGGCTGGTTCCGTAAATAAACATATTATTATTATTATATTATTATTAAAATATCTCAAATATAATAATAAATATAAATTAAATTTTACGTAGAATATCTAAATTATATTAATTTACTATATCATGAAACATTTTTGAAAACCTCGCCGCCTATGCTTCATAAAGAAAACGCTGACTGTTGATGGAAACTTATTTTTTGCGGTGGTTCAATTGAGAATAGATAAACTATACCAAGCTTTCTGAGAACTTTGTGCAGATGAGCAAATCATAAATAAATGTGACAAAGAGTAAGGGACCCAGGGCTGGGACTCTGTAACGAATAGAAATATTTTCTCTACCTCTATAGACATCTCCTCTCTATTGATTTCGACAAGAGAGAACAAGACAGCAAGTGTCATAGCGATAGGGATAACGGTTTCTATCCGTTACAGAGTTCCCACCCAGATTGCTTTCCTGTGACACCCCTGTGTATGCGCCAAAGGGACGTTAATGAACTTGAAATTTCGCATTTCTGTGCTGATTGGCCGATTTTTTTTTAAATTCATCTGCAAAAGGAAAAAAGGGGTGTTCTTTCCTTTGCTGACAAATAAAAAATCAACCAATCAAAGCACGTCTGACAAATTTCAAGGTCATTAACACCCCTTTACCCTGGGACCGCACAATTTGTGCACCAACATTGTTTGATGTTGGCGGTATTATTTGGTAAAAGCATCCACACATTGGGAGTTATTGGATGATACTATTTATTTTAAACATTACTTAAGTTTTTACAGTTTCAAACAGCATATTTTTTTTTTTTTTGATCCGATAAATAGTTTCTGAAAAAGTCAAAAGTTTTTACAAGCTCCACATTTTTTTTTCTGGAAGCTTCATGCTTACACAAACCTTTGAACGAACTTACCAGGCTGTGATGCTTCATCTCCACCAATAACAGGTGTCATATCTCCAGGCGCAGGCCAAGGTGGTATTTGATGGGATGGAGAAGGTTCCCCGCCACTCAGTTGTGTATCTAGCATATTCGCCAAGTCCATTTGCATTTCATCCTGAAACAATTGACGCAATAAAAGATAACAAAAGCTTAATTTGGTTACCGTACCATTCCGCTATGTTGTGGAAGCCCTTCATCATCCAAAGGTTCATTTTTTGGTTTGATAAGAGACAGAGCTTCATCTTGCAAAGGAGAAATACTCGGTGGAGGTTGACTCAGAGGGTTTAATTGAATGGATGAGGAAGATGGTGGAGGTGTGCCTGTAATGAGATAGATGATAGATAATGTGCTTTATTGTCATAAAAAACTTATACAATTTGTTTTGTGGACAAAGCGAATAACCCTCGGAATAACCTAAAACTAGTCACATAAAAAATAAGTTGCAAAAAGTCAATTTTCAACTGTTAATATTTCCAAAACAGTTGAACTTAGGTATAGGGTTTTAGTTTTCCATAAACGTCTAATACTCCATCTACCATGGGACACCCTGTATATAAGAGAAACAGATTCCAGAATATACAAAGATATGACCGTTAGAATCTTTTTAGACACAAACAAAGGCCTGCATGACTCCCTAAATTTGGCATGACACAAATACCATATTGCCCGCTTTTGCAAAGCAAAAATTATTTGAAGTAGTTGGTTGTTGGTGGAAACCCAGAAGGCAATACCATAACATAGGTGCGACTCTATGAAAGCATGATAAACCGTCTTTCCAAAAGCGAATCCGAGTTCGTTAACTGTTATTTTCACTGCATAACAACCAGACGCAATTTTTTTACTTAATATACTAATATGATCCTCAAATTTCAAGCCAGAGTCGATTGTCAAGCCCAAGAATTTGCTGTGATTACGCTCTGCCAGAGAATCAGCCCCCACCCTAAGGTCATCTATACTGCATCTAAAACAAACTATATTAGTTTTATTGACGTTTAAAGTTAACAGATTTGAATCAAACCACTCTTTAAGAAGATCCAAATCCCTTGAAATCATGGTTCTCAAAGTGTCAACATCACTACAAGTCCACAGAATCGTAGTGTCATCAGCGAAAATGGTGAACTTTCCTTGTATATTGAGCCTGGCAATATCATTAAAAAATATCAGAAAAAGGAGAGGACCCAAGACCGACCCTTGTGGTACACCCCATTCAATGTTTCCAGGTTTTGATGGCTGATCATTAATAATTACTCGCTGTGTCCTTCCTTGTAAGTATGACTCGAACCATGATAAAACCACCCCCCTAAACCCATAATGGTACAGTTTCTTCATAAGAATAGAATGATTTACACAATCGAAGGCGCAAAAAACCGCGGCCGATACATTTGACTTATTTAAAGAGGAAAAGAGTTGTGAAAGCAGATTGAACATAGCATTATTAGTACCTGTATTGGTGCGAAAGCCAAATTGTGCATTGCTCAATAATTTATTACACTCAAGATATGACATGATACGAGTTTTTGTTAGTTTTTCAATTAATTTAGACAAGGTAGACAACATTGAAATGGGCCTAAAACTAGCAGGGTCAGATTCAATTCCACCCTTATGAAGCGGGATCACTAAAGCCGATTTTAAGCTTGAAGGAAATACCCCGCTCGTCCAAGAGTGATTTATAGCTTTGACTAAAATATCGGCTATAATAACTTCAGGCATATTAAGCAATATTTTGACAGACAATCCATCCTCTCCCGACGCATTTTTGTTATTGATGCTTTTTAATGTTTGTTTAACTTCAGCTAAATCGGTTGGTGTAAATGCGAATGAATTGAGTACTGAAATATGAGACATATACAACATTGGATCTTTACGAATTCCTATGTTTTTTGTTAAATTGTTAATTAACTTTATAAATGTTTTAAGGGGGTTATACAAATATTTTTACCTGATGAATCTAAATGTGGCCTTTTTGGTGGTAAAAGTGGTACAATAGCTGGCTGTACTATTGGGTTGGGGCTTTCTGAAGGCCTCAAAGGCCGCGTTGGTCGAATTAATTTTTTAGATTGCTGATGCCTTTTTTGTATATCATGCCGAGTATCTACCTCAAATGGATTTTTTTTTGCTGCGAATCCATTTGGAGCATCCTAAAAGAAAACAATCACGTTAGGGATAAATAAATAAATATAAGTTGTCGGATTGTATCTTACAGCATTATCAGTCAGTCCTTTAACTTTCAACATTTCGGCAACCTTCATGAAATTAGGAATTTCTTCTTGACTCACACTGACTTCTCCTTGATACATGAAATGTAAAAGGCTCCTCAATGCTCCGTATTTCACATCGGGCAATATAACTATGGGGTGTTTACAAGGATTCACTCGAAATAGGTCTTTGAAAAATGGGCTGCACACTGACAAAACGGTTTTGTGTGCTTTGACAAATTTTCCTTCTGCGGCCAGTGTAACATCGACCAGGTCTTCGTCTTTCAACAAACTGTGAAAGCCCGAACTTAGATTAGTGTGAAAATTGTTCCAGCACAAGGAGAATTGCTCGCCTGTGCCTGTATCCATGTTTCTAGTTTTGGGGCCTAGAAATTTAGATGTAGAATGGAGTCGATTCATGATTGCATTATAAAAAAACTTACTCGATATTGGTTGATCATGAATTTACGATGCTTGTGGGCTCAGGGCAATGTTTTACAGGATTTTGTCTGTTTTTTTAAAATGATAAAAAGTTTTGTTTTTTACGAAAAAGCATAACAAATCATAAAATGGTTTTGACTTTTGGTCGGTGGTTTTGTTTTGGAAGGTTGACGTTGGTTGACTGTTGACGACGGGCTGACATTACAACTGTCAAAAGATGTTTTCTGTTTAGTTCTTTTCACGTGGCTCCGGTTTAACTAACCGGGTTACAAAACGGTTAGAGAAATGACATAGGTTCTTTTCACGTGGCTCCGGTTTAACTAACCGGGTTACAAAACGGTTAGAGAAATGACATACCGTTTTCTAACCCGGTTACAAAGTGACGTGATGGATACCTACCACTCGAATTTGAGCGGTATGTTGCGGTTTGTTAAACCGGAGCCACGTGAAAAGGGTTTTTGTATTCCTTTCACACGGAGGAGCTCCGGGGCGTTAAGCGCCTTTTCTTTTCGAAAAGTGTTTGCTGAACCACGCATCACTTCCTTTCAAGTCGGGGTCGACTAAAGCCTAGTACTCATAACCGCGAATTGCGGATTTTAATTTCTCTGATTTTTTTCTATTGGTCGATTATATTTAAATTTGACAGGTTTAAATAAATTCGACGAATAGAAAAAAATCTGCAAAATAAAAATCCCCAATTACGGTTATGAGTAAATACTAGGCTTAACACTGGAGCGAGTAGCTCGAGTGTTTCAAACTCTTGAAAGGAATACAACTATCTGCTTACGCCAATAACAGCGATCAGCGATCTGAAACGGATTCACATGTTGTTCGGCTTGAAACGGTGCGCTGCTCTCACCGAGATTCATGTGCTCGACTTGAACGCTCCCAAATCTAGCACGGAGCCACACGGAGCGCTTTTCTGTGCCCTCTTTTGGAATATGTTTATAATCGCTCTCGGAGCACCCCAGACATCTGTGAGTTGTGACGTCACCGCCCAGACGCGGAGCACTCTGGTGGAGCAGTTAAGCCAAAAATGTTACATGAGTTTGATCAAAACAATAAAGTATTTGCTTTCGGCTATTAATTTCCAATGGTGTGCTCTCGTTTGGATTAGCTGGGTTCGGGATAGCCCAGCGGTGGAGTGGCGTTTTTATCACGTGACCAAAAAGCTTTTGGAGTGGATTAGTGAAACTCAGTGAAACCGAACGGCCAGGGTGCATTTGGAGTTTCTTAACTTAACCTAACCCACAAATGACAAGTATTATTTTAAAAACAACATATGTTTTTCTAGTCTTTTCTATGAATTTTTGGTATTTGACGCCTATATTTGATTTTGTTGAGGACGTTTATTTCGGAGACTTGTCTGAAGAAGTCATCAAGACGTTGCGTGACGTTGCTCGCATGTCAAATAGGCAGTTTAAAATCCATTCCATTCCATCTATTAACACGGTAATTAGGCAATTCAAACCACGTGACTTTTAAGATGGCGTGGCGGCCACATGTAGGCCAAAAAACAGAAAAAAATATCTAGAATCTGCTCGTATTAGTTTAGGTACCTAGTCAACAATAATTTTATTAAATAGTCCAAATCAAAGTTGCAAGCAAAACTCTAAGCAAAATAATTTGAAATACGCATAAAAACACATTCAAAACAAACTTGCTTGGTCGCCACGCCATATTGAATTTCCCTATCTGACAGATGGATTGAATTGCCTAATTACAGATTCGATTCAATATTGATTTGTTGACTGTCGATTAGTGGAATAGTCGATTGTCGCAATCAAAAAAATAGGATAAATGCATAAATGACACAAAATCACAAAAACGCAAACACTGCGCATGCCCGCTCTGGCGCTTGCTGTTGACGAGGTGGTGCTTTCAGAGTCAGCTCTTTTGACTCCCGCACGTCCTTCCCGAACGCATGTGGAGTTACTCTTTTAGCTCAAAATGACAATACCCGAACGCATCGGGAGTGTTTATTGCACTTGGAGTTTATAGAACAGTTATCCCGAACCCACCTATTATAATCGCTCTCGGAGCACTCTCGCAGAGATTTGTGAGGACACCGCCCAGACGGGAGCGCTCCAAGGTTCATAAAGTTAACCTCTCTCAAAAAACCTTGGTGGCTCTGTCAAATTTTGAAATTTTGTTTGACAAACAAATTGAAAAAATAAACATTTAAAAAAACCAAATAATAATAATTTAATAATTAAGCAAAAATGAAAATAAACTATAAAACATGTCCGTTATTTAAACATTAATTCAACATTCCCTTCGGTCTAATCAAATTGTGATAGTTAAATAGGTTGTTTACTAATAATTGATAATGGATTTATTTGCTATACTTTTTGTAGCCCTTATTTCCCTAATGTTCGGTATTATTTTAACGATTTGCGTGCAGTATTATGTATTTTACGTTTACCTTAGGAAAAGCCCTAGAGCTAGCAGTTTTACACACAAAAAATCATTGGATTATAATTTGCCAAATGTAAGTCGTATGATGTTGAGAATTTCTAGCTGTTAGCCCCTATTCGTTATTGTAGGCTATAAAAAAGCAGCTAGAGGCAGGAGACGTCGCCGGAGATAAAAGCAAAAGTGGCTTAGCTGTAAGCCTCATATTGCAATTTTTATTTCATGAATTGAGACACTCTGAGACTATTAAAAGGTGGCTCTATAAAAAACTATCCATGGAATTTGATGAATTACTAACTAAAACTACAATGGGAAAGTGTTTTGATTCTATAAGTGTAAGTAATATATCAATTAGAGAATTTACATTACGTATCTGTGGTAAATTGTAGATTAAAGATATGCACTTAGGCTCACAATTTCCCGACATAAAAGACATCACAGTTGAAAATGTAAAATTGGACAAGAAAGAGGAACACATTGAGGTACTAAGTCTTGGACTAAATTTAGACTATACTGGTAATTTTTTGTTATGCATCGACGCCAAAATGAAATTCAGTAAAACTGCTTATCTTTCCATTAAAGGTACCTACATAACTATTTGCATTGGTTATTATTAACAAGATATTTGTTTTATCTAGTTAAAAAAATCTGCGGTTCAGTAAGGCTACAGTTTTCCAGACAACCATACACACATTGGTCGTTTGCTTTCCACACTGAGCCAATTTTGGATTTGGCTGTAGAGTCCCATTTTCAAGGCAGACAACTGCAGGCGAATATAACTAATTTAATCGTGAATCAAATTAAGAAGGCCATCAAAAGGAAACATACTTTGCCTAATTATAAAATTCGGTAGGTATTATTCAAGATTATCAGGGGTGATACTTTTGACTGTAATAGCATAAGTGCTTGAAAATGTCCTTTCACAAAATGGGATTTGTCGCAACTAATTACATACCTAAATTGTTGTTGGATTGTTTGAATGTAAATACATACAGGGTTTTTCGAGGTCAACCAACAATCATTTGAATCTTGGAAACAGAATTTTTTGTTCACAGAAAAAACTGAGGAAAAAACCTCATTGAGAAAGCTTAAAAAATATGCATCGAACCTTAAATTCTAAATTTCAGCAATACAAAATAAATTATAGACACCACAGAACTGAAGGCTAGTCAACTGTTTAAAAGTACTACTTTCATGTTCATAGATAAAATCACTGATAAACTATTATGTAATCATAAATATAATCATATTATTGACCAATAGCGGGCAGTGAAATCCTGTGAAGCTATTGTTCCTTCTGTTTAGAATATCTGTTTGCTTTTAGGCACTATGGTGTATCTGAGATGTGTGAGATAGTGTATGATTCTTGTTTCATTATTACGTACTTAGTTCTTTATCCAACCGATTTTTAAACACAACACTACATGATTATTCAAAAAATTATTCCAAGGTAATTTTGCAGCTTTTTTCTTTCTTATTCTGGTTGTGACAAAAGATTGTGAATAATGTTGCAGTTGCATTGTTATAGCCACTGTTATTTTGTAAGTTTCGATCAAATCGCCCCTGTGCCATCTTTCTCTTGAAGTTGTTAATTCAAATCTCTCGGGATAGTCTAAAGTTTATAACTCTAATAGCATTTTAGTGATGTTTCTTTGATTTTTTCCAACATCTCTAAATCTTTGGAACCACCGAGCCGTCCTTAAAAGCATGTTTGATGAGAATGATTAATGAGTTCGGTTATAAATTCTAGCAGCTGTCCACATACTCCAAAATGCTCTAACTTTCCCAGTAAAATATTGTGAGGAACTTTATCAGCGGCTTTTTCATAATCGAGGTAAATTATATCCAATCCTCAAGGCATTCGAGCAGGTTCGTTGTAGTGGATAGTTTTGCAAGAATTCCGTGTTGTGATGGGGGTATTGGGTTATATTCATATAAAAATGGTGTGAGCTCTTCACAATTATTTTTTCCATGCATTTTAATGGTTGCATGTGAGAACTATGAGTATTTTGGTTTGCGTCTGTTATCTTTCTTGCATAAAGGTTTTACTATGGAAAGTTTCAATTTTTCTGGGATGCATTCAAGCTCCATGCACTCCTTCATCACCTCTGTGAGTCGACCATCAACTAATTCTCTACAATTTTGAAATAGTACTGTTGGAATTTCATCTGGTCCAGTACTTGAATCTTTCTTCATCTTCATTAATACTTCTGTAACCTTTTCTTCTGTGAAATCTATACTATTTATTCCAACTCTGGTATACTGTACAAGTGGTGGTAGGTAGAAATCTTAATGGATAAAAACTTTGTTGAACTAACCTTGCAGCCATTGGCTTGTTTTCTCCTGTGTTACGGGATCTTTTATAGTGATCATTGACACATTTTAGCTCAAATTTCGACTTGGGTATTTGAATATTCCCTTTGGTGATTCTGATATCACTGAATTATTTTCGTTTGTTCTTCTTCCCTTATCTAGCTTTTGCTTGAACGCATTATTCTGCATCATATATTATGATTGATAGCTTTCTTGCGTTTTTTCAAATTTATATTTTGTTCCATAGCTTACACTTTTTGTTAATTTCTTTGGAGTGCTACTGGTTAATCCATGGCTTCTGCTGATTTGCTTTTATAGACTTTAACTACAAAATGAATTTCTCTACTGCCATATTCAAGATGTTTTCAAAATTTTCGAATGTGTTCTGTTCCAAGTTGTAGGGTTGGTCTCTGATGAAGTTGTTTATTACATCGTATTTTGCAGTGTAAAAATTCCTTCTAAAAACTTTATTGGTTAGTTTTTTTGACATTTTTAGGTGTGTTTTCACACTTTTGTTATCACTGCATAAAAACAAATCTAGAAGAGAACTTTGGTTGTTCCTCTATCTTGTTGGAAAGTCTATTATTTGATGCATATACTATTTCTTGATCCATAGGTATCCATGAAGTGTTGTGTTTTCTTGTCTGCTGGGAACACTGTTAAGTTATCCCAGTTTATGTTGGGGTAGTTGAAATCTCCCAGTAAAATGTGTAGCTTTCAAATTAATTCTTTATTGCGCTGATAGGTGAGCATTAACTGTCTCATTTATGGTACTGCCTGGTCTGTATGAACATGCAACTAGCATTTTTACTTTACTTGTCTGGAGTTCTAACCACAGTGCATCTACTGGCTGGCCAATTTGGATTTGCAGAGATGCTGCTTTTGACTTCATATCCATTCACATTGTTTCTGATAGGGATGCAAACTCCTCCTCCCTTTTGTTGCGGTCGATCTTCACAAAAGACGCTGTGTCCATCAGGCTTATAACACTGTCTGTATTTGTTTTTAACCAAGTTCTGCAATTATGGTGTGCGATGACGTTAATACTGTTACTTTCCACTCATCAACTTTATTCACTATTGAGGATAGATTGCTGTTCCATATTCTAACTTCAACTACCTCTGCATTGCTAAGTTTTTCGCTTTTTTTTTCTATTATTTTGGGAATCCCTGTAAAAATCAACAAGCAGGTTCCCGACTAGTACTGGCACCTGCTAAATTTTGAATTTTAATTTGAAAAGTTTTTGCTATTTCAAGGCAAATCAAAACTATTTGCACCATTGCAGATTAAATTTTGAATGATACATGTTCGATGTAAACTTTATTAATTAAGCAACTAAACCACTCGGCTAACGCCTCGTGGTTTAACGTTACACGCGTTTCATTATGGTGTTCATATCGAACTACACCTTCTTCAATTGTATTTCAGAAAGTGTCAAATGTATTTCAGAAAGTGTTAAATGTATTTCAGAATAGCCAAATGCATTTCAGAAAGCGTTGAATGTATTTCAGAATAGTTAAATGTATTTGAGAAAGCGTTGAATGTATCTCAGAATAATTAAATGTATTTCAGAAAGCGTAAAATGTATTTCAGCCGCTACCTCTTTCACTTCTGAAGTCTTGATGGTCTCGACGTACTTTTCCAACTTTTTGAGTGCATCAGAATACCTCACAACAGGAATTTTTTGGTAAACCAGTTCTATTTCATTCCGTATCTTCACTAGCTCCCCCTTGACTGTTTCATTCTCCTTTCTTCTTCTTTCCATGGAGGTTTTCAAAGAGTCCACCTCTCATTTCAGTTTTTGGAGTCTATTAGCTGTCTGCTCGTCCCTGCTGTTGGGTTTTCTTAACATCCTCATCAGTTTTTTGCTTAATCCTTCCCATGATTGATTTTTTTTTTCTATTTATTTTTGTTTCATTCAATTCACAGCAAAAGTTCAAATGATAATAATTTAGAAAGCAAAGATGAAAAAAGGTGACCCATATGTGTTAAAACTACCCTGATTTATCCTTATTCAGTTGAGGCTACATTGGTTTGAAAATCTCTAATACTTTTTTTTCTACTTTACTTGCAAATTTCTTTTATTAACCAATGTAACCATGTTTGGTAAAATCCATAAAATTCGAATATCTTGGAAACCGTGAAGAATTGTATAGTAACATTTAGGATTTTTTTGTCGGCAATGACCTCCTCTATCACCCCTTTCAGTTTGGACCATGACTTATGGGACACCCTGTATATGCTTGCTCTAGTAACCTCTCTGAAGATTCTCCTGAGCACACACCTGTATGGCGTAGATCTGAGTCTAGTATACCGCTACAAAATACACTACAAAAATTACAACAAGATAAAAAAAGAAAGTTTTTTCAAAAATTTAGAAAGTAAGTATGTATGTATACATAACTAGATTTATTTATTTATTTATTTATTTATGTTTATTAACAGACTTGCCATTTTACTAAATCTACTTATACAAAAATACACTTAAAACAAAAGACTTAAACTAATACAATTACTTGAACTTTGATTACATTACATTACAATAAAAGTTTCTTAACCTGTTGAATAAAACTAGGGTTGAGCAATTGAAAACATCAACATCATCACCCACACAGTTCATCTGGCGGCACATTCTCGTTAAAGTCGAATTCTGGCCATAGTTAGTACGATGGTATGGGACAGAAAATAAATTTCTACTTCTATGTAGTAGTACGCTGGGGAACCGCAAGTCCAACACCTTCTAAAAGATATGGACAATCGACAGTGTTGTTCAAAAGTTTAAATAAAAATCCCAAATCAAGAATTAAACGTCTTGTTTGCAGCGATGGAAGCTTTAGTAAGGTTTGCAATTGATTATAATCAATTTGTTCTGGTGGGATTTTTAGTTTGTAAGCAACAAGTCGAAGAAATCGCTTTTGGACCCTTTCAAGCAAGTCTATGTATGTAGAGTAGAAAGGTGACCATACCTGTGACCCATATTCCAACGTCAATCGCACAATTGCACAATACAAAGCCTTAAAACATTCAATATTATTAAAATCTTTAAGGGTTCTGCCAATAAAACCAAGTAACTTTATCGATTTATTATAAATGCTCTCAATCTGTAGATCGTATCTTAAGGCACTATCTAATATTACTCCAAGATCTTTATGGAAAATTTCAGCGGATAGTATTTCATTTTTTAAAGAGTAGTCAAATATAATTGGAGTCTTTATTCTATAATATCTCATTACCTGACACTTAGAAACATTCAGTTCTAATCTATTTCTTTTATACCAATCCAAAAACGCATTGAGATCTTTCTGGATCACCTCACAATCGTCCAGTTCCTTTACTGTTTTATAAAGTTTTAGGTCGTCTGCATACAAGAGATAATTACAGTTTTCAATTTCATAATGGATATCATTAATGAATAAGTTAAACAGTAGAGGTGATATGTGACCACCTTGTGGAACACCAGATGTAACATTTATGGTCGAGGAAGTAGCATTATTTATTTTTACCGCCTGCTGTCTGTTAGTTAAGTAACTGGTTAGCCAATGGAGTAGTGGTCCAGAAATGCCAACCTTTCCCAGTTTTCTTGACAAAATGACGTGATCAACATTGTCGAATGCCTTGGAGAAATCAGTGTAAATGACATCTACCTGGCATCTGCTCTCCAAAGCATTCGAGAGGTACTCCTCAAAGCAGAGCAAATTAGTAACTGAAGACCTACCCTTGACAAAACCATGTTGGGCAGGAGTTATAATACCCTTAAAAGCCGGCGTAATTTTATTAGTAACAATCTCCTCAAAAATCTTACCAATCACGCTCAACTTGGATATTGGGCGATAGTTTTCCACCTTCGCTCTGTCAGAGGCTTTATGCAAAGGAGTGATGAAGCTTAATTTCCATTTATCTGGGAAAGTGCCAGATTTGATTGACCAATTAAAAATTTGGGAGAGTATGGGTGAAATAATGAATCTGCAATTGAATAGAAAATCTCGTGGTACGCTGTCAGGTCCTACACCTAGATGTGGCTTTGTATTCTCTATAGCATTAAATACATCTACTGGTGTAATTGAAATGTTCTTTAAATCGACCGTATTGTAATATTTGTAATGTATTAGTTCGTTTTCCGTTACAAACGAATTGTGCGAATCGTGCAAATCGTTGTGGCTTTCGACCTTGCTATAAACTGAACCAAAAAAATCAGCAAAAAGGTTAACTATTGAATGCTATTGAATCAGTGGCATTCGAGACTGTGCCACCATATGACATTAAATTAGGTAATACATAACAACTTCTTTTATCTTTCACAAATTTCCAGAATGCCTTTTTGTCGTCAATAATTGTGTTTTCTGTCAAGTTGATAAAATTTTCGTAAGCTAAAGATGATAATAGATACCTACCTATTAACACAAATTACAAATAAAATTCTTTTTTTTTGTCATTCCTTTATTTTTTGTCGGCCCATTTCCGTGACCAGGCCAATCACCAATGCCATCAGGGAATTTGTTACACTCCATCTGGAAATTTTGCTGGACCCATCTTTGTTGATCGTAGGGATCTTTTTCCTGCATATCACATCACTGATACATGGGACCAATAGTTTTACGAAAGATGGCGTTCCTTGTTAATACTAAATTCCAAATATTAATATCGACGTTGAACGACCCATCAGGGATTGAACCCTGGTCAGAGGCAGGAACGCTATCTAGACATAAAGGCAATATGATTTAAAATCTTCTCCAAAGTCATCAAAGCATATGAGTCCAAAAACTAAAAAACTTCCTAGAAAAACTCTTCTAAAGTAAAGTAGGCTTTTACCTTTAAAACAAACTTTATACGCCTTTCACAGAGCTCTTGAGATCATGGAGAGCTTCCACTCATCTGTCAAATGATTGTAAATCTTCAAACTTTCATACATTGAAGAGTTTTTGAGAACCGCTCCTTCACACGTCGTAGGTCTTCAATTATAATATCTCTCAGTAAACTAGCATCTTCATCAAGCCATAAGATGGTTGTATCATCTGAAAAAAGTGGTAAAACATCCTCGAATGTATAGTCTAGCTAGGTCATTCAAGTACAAATGAAAAATAATTTTCCAAGAAGCAAACCCTGAAAAATACTATGTCGCATCGTCAGTTCATATCAGTTACCTTCCTCGGAACAAACCATTTGCTTTCTAGTTGACAAATAAGTCAAAAACCAGTCATACACCACTCCCTTCAAGGCTTGTATCACCTGCATAACGAGTTACCCTACATAGACGATGTTATACAATCACACAACCTACACACCGCTCTAGTAGTCGCCCTTCCTCTCCTGAAAACAAATATTTCCTGAATCAGAAGACCATTACCAATATTCATAGAGCTAGTCCTTGAGTAATACCTCAAAAACCTTTGAGAACACTGATAACAAAGAGATAGAGCGATAATGGTTGAAACTGTGCTGGTTTTTCTTTTTGAAGATTGGGATGGTCTTGCTCAACTTAAAGACAGGCGGGTAAACTCCCTCAATTTTTCAATTTCAATTTATTATTACCAAAGACAAGGAAAACATATGTCCCTCCCTACTATGTTTCTTTTTTGATTCACCAATAACATCTCTCATCTCAATCACGGAAAACAATGTCAGTCCGTCTAGTTTTCCAGGTAAAAATGAAAAGGCAAATTTGACTTGGGCGAAGCAGATATCAATCTATCAGCAATATCAACATAGACATAAAATTTTAAAATATGTATTTGAACTCTACACCTAATACTGTCCAATTTGGACACTTTTGATAGATTAGGAAACTAATTTCTGACTTCTGAGCGAGATATCATATCTCTCACCGTTTCCGAGAACCTATTGATGGTTGACCTCGAAAAACGGACATCCTGTAACTACTTACAAGTCTTACAGCATGGCAAAATTTTACTAATTATTTATTTTTGTTTAGATATAAGCCCTTTTTTGTTAAAACTGACCCCAGTCAACTAGACATGGAAGAAAACGAAATGTCACTTCAAGGCACATTGAAAATGAATGTATCTGAAGTTTCAAGACTATCTTATCCTGAGACAGTTCAAAATGTATATTTAACCATAGCTGTAGGTGAGTATTAATTGGAAGCACTAGAACAATTTGATACTTTCATATCACAGAGACACAACAATACTGTATGATTTTGTGTGGACCGATCTATGAACATTAAAATTAGTGTGATAGGTAAATTATATTTAAATTTTCAAAGGCCACATGGGAAATATTTTCATTGAAGGGCAAAACAATTATTATTAATATCATCAAACTCGAATTTGAAAATGTTTCTTGCTCATCACAGGCTCTGTTTTTTTACTGAGGCACGCCTGCTATGTGGCATCTGTTTCTGAGAAGTTTGTTTATCTTACTTGTTTCAATATTTTTATTATTGATCAGCCTATGCTTTACCTTTTTCCACCAGACTTATTTGAGTCTCTATATTGGGATCTTGCTTATTATTAGAGCAAAAATACAACTACTAATGAACTTTTACTCTTTTGCTTTTTGGAAATTTGGGTAAAACTTGAGATTTTTTCTAGTAAATTACCCTTTATCGCATCATGTTCAACCTTGAATAATAACAAAATGTATTTAAATTTTTTAATACAATTTTTTGTTTCTTCTTCAGATTCTATTCCCTGGATCTCATTGTACCAAAAAGACGAATCAATGATCATGACACTGGAAATCACAATGACAAAATTAAAGCAAACCCAACTGGGAGTGATTTTTAGACAAGAGACTGCCTTGGTAGTTGTTGACAGCGTGGCGAGTAATTCCCCGGCGCACCAAGCAGGACTTAGACCATCAGATGTTGTTATTTCAGTTGAAAACAAATTGGTCTCCACCGTAACTCAAGTAGCCAAATACATGAAATCTGTAGCAGGGACAAATGTCACTTTACAGGTGGAACGTTCAGTAGAAAACTATATCACCAAGTGGAAATTATTTCCAGAAGAGAAAGAGCCTAATACTGTAACCGGCTTAGAAGGAAAATGCGAAGATAGCGAGACAGAATTGACTCAAATAGAACAAGAGTCGTTTGTTATAATTGAAAATGTAAAAAAAGATGAGCGCAAGCCACGATCTCCAAAAATGATGCCTAGCAACGAAAATATGGCCAAGTTAGCGCAGACGATAAGTAGTTTTAGTTTACGCAAACGCAAAGGTGCTGGAGCATCTCCTAGCACACCTCGGTCCAACTCAAAAGCAGCCACACCCTTAAAAAAGAATTCCGTATGCGATTTACCAGAAATAGTAAGAACTGAAGCGGACACTATGGAATGCGAACAAATTTTTTCGCAAATCGAAGTCTTCAAAGGCAAAGAACTACCTGCTGATGATGTTTTGCCATTTGACGACGATTTTAGGTTTTTGGCCAAAGATGGAGCCAAATATATTAATGTGAATGCTTGGGGCACTTCTACTAATTGTCCCGATATTCTTTTGGGGTATTTGAATGTTCCAATAAATCATGTAGCGTCCGAGTGTTCTAGTAGTGTATTGGGGCATCATTCTAGACGATATTCATTCTTGCCACCAGGTAATAATAATAATAATAATATTCATTCAGGAAAGCAATACATTTTTTTTACAAGACGGCATTAATTATATATATTTTTGTAAAGTATTATGACTGTGTGTTAATTGGAGGGAATGTACCGTTGAGATATGGACTTATGCGATCTCTGCTTTATATTGAAACTGAAACATATAATCAGTGAGGAAGGCTAAGATCATTCCCATAGTTTTGGAAAAAAAATCGATCAATCCAAAAAATTTCATCCGCAAGGGTCATTTACAACTGACAGCGCCCCCATCCTTAGCTGAAATCGCAATACAGTTCCCCAAAACATTTTTCCATTATTCTTTCTTATAGCCAATCTTCTATTTTCAAATAATACCTAACGTAAAAAAATATGAGTTGTGACTTCACTTCTTTGACATCAACAAAACATAACTATTTCAGGTGTAACATCGACAGCCACAGCCCATCCATTACGAGCCCACTCCGGATTTGAACACGTATTTTGCTTTGGCGATGCCCTATTAACATTTGCCTGGACTCCTACAGAAAATGTTGAACTTCCCAGGAAAATTTCTGTAACTATGGACACTAAGACTGAGTTATCTGGATTTTTACCCAGAAATAAACATGATTTCGTTCGGACTCAATTCCACGGAACTACGCACTGTGATTTTTGTTCGAAAAAGGTATGTAATCAAATGAGAAACAGTTTTGTACAACTTGCGATTTAAAACTGTTAGGGAACTCATTGAGAACACCTATTAGAAATATACTCCTTAAAGCAAGAAAAAATGAAAAAAAAAAAACACGACAGCAGGTCAGTTTAGGAACCTGAAATATAAATTAAAACAAACATAAAAAAATTATAATAGTAGGTATAAGTAATAATGAAGTATAGTCTGTTTCAGATATTTCCTGAACTTTTAAGAATTCACTTTTCTGATTAATTGCATGCGGAGTTAAGCGACAAATTCTTCATGCATTTAATCGAAAAACACCACCCTGATTAACCAATACTAGTGGTGTTTTTGTTGTTTTCTTCTAGATTTGGTTGAAAGACGCAGTTCAATGTAGACAGTGTACCATGTGCTGCCACAAAAAGTGCGTAGCCAAATGTCAAACTAGTAATGGCTGTACTAGCGACAGGCCGCCACAGACAAGGACCAGTGAAGTATCACTTAATGATGTAATCCTACAGACTGAAGGGAGTTTGGAGGACGTTGATAGTTTGGATAATGGCAGCTTGAAGCGCGTCAATAGTGTCACCAATCTTAGTATTCCTGGTAATGAATTTTTGATCTTTAGCTTTTGGTTTATATGTACACACAACAAAAAAAGTTTTGCACCGCCCTGTAATGTAACTACATAATACTCACCGACAAATAAAAATATTGTTAACTTCAACTATGAAATGTGTACATTTACTAAAAAAGGTTTAGGAATCTGAAACTAATCACTATTTTTTTATTGATAAATTTTTAATTTAAATATCGCTGAATATATAAAATGAGATGGTGCAAAACTTTTTTTGTTGTGTATATATTTGATTGAGTATCTGCTAATGCAAAAAGTAATAGTATTCACTTCGAAACTAACAGTAAGCGAAATTGTAGAGAATGTTCTTCTAATGTTCTGGAAATTGTTGAACCAAGTGGCTCCGGTTCAGAAGGGCGATATTCAAAACCGCGAAAGGTATGCAAAACGGCGGTCTCATTTTAGCGACATTCAAAACAGCGACATATCAAAACAGCGACTTTCAAAACAGCGATATTTAAAAAGAGCGACAATTTAAAACAGCGACATATCAAAACAGCGACATATCAAAACAGCGACATTCAAAACAGCGACAACTGTATTTCAAATAAAATGCTAACTCACGAGGACTAGATCGCCCTAGGCGGACGAGTTATTTCGAGTTATGTTAATCTAGTGTTGTTTTTGAGCTCCAAAGTGAGCCCTTCAAGTATATCTTAATTGGAATAAATATACTTTGTTTCTTAGCTATTTATTAGCCAAAAGAACTATTTGGAACTATTCAAATTACAACACAATCTGACTATTATCTGATAAATATTATTCTGTCTTTTCGTATATCACTGGTTGCATTGTTGCAAACCTGACATCTCTTTTTTTTTATATATATATTTTTTTTAACTAAACAATAATATTTCTAAAAATCTACATCTACCCTATTTATAACTCTAACCTAGTTGGTGCTCTAATTATTCTACTCTTACTAGTCCTTTTTAAATTTTGATAATGCTCATCACATTATGTCTTGCTCTCACAACTCTCATGATCAGTTTCTCTCAAATTCTCAAAATTGTTTTCTTGCTCGCTCGAGTGTCCACTTTCACTATTGCACAACTCTAAAAAATCACTTTCCACCTATACCTTCTTCCTCTTTCACATAAAAATATTCTGCAGTTTTATTTTTGTCTTTTACATCCTACTGAACAACTTTTATAAAAATCCTATCTCTTATATACAATGTGTCTATGATAAGGAGGGCCAGTATGGGGATCTCGGAAACAGCGAAAGATACGATGTTGTTTAAATTAGGGAAAAGTTGCGCTATTTTGTGCGCATTAAAATATAGGTCTGATATTTTAAAAATTTCGAGTGATACCGGAGATATCCGGGAAAACCCGAAATTTGCCCAAATCGATTTTATTTTTACCTGACCTTATTTGAAGAGGTATTCCAAAATAAATGGCACTTCCTTATTGCCACTTTTCCTCCTCTACAATATGGCATTATCAAATTTGTAATCCGACGTTTCGTTTTTGGGCCACTATCATTGGATCCCAATACTGGCCCTCCTTATCTTGGATACATTGTATATAAACCCATTATCAGTTTTTACTCTATATGACCTATCTCTAAGCTTTTCAAGAACTTTCCCAGGGACCCAAACGCCCTTTGGTTTCAATTGTATGACCGCTTAAGTATTTGATGAGATATCTGACAACTCTTTTATAGTCTATCGTTTCTCAAATGAGACAAGGCAAAAATTGGGGTCTCCTCAAATTATCGTATTGCCCGTTAAAATTATTATACTATTACTAGCTAAACCGGCGAACTTCATACCGCCTATGAATTATTAAATACCTATTGAATGTTGTGTTAACGTATCTAGTAGATAAATTAAATTCAGTTTTTTTCAATAGTGAATTTGGCCTTGGAAACTAATGTTTACTCTCTGGATCAGAAATCACCTAAAATTAAAATTTTACATCATTTGGCTATTGATTTCAAATAGGGTGCCTCGCTTGGATCATAATCGCTCTCGGAGCACTTCCGCAGAGATCTGTGACGTCACCGCCCAAATAGAGAGCGCTCTGGGATCAGTAAAGCCGAAAATGCTATAAGATAATACTGTTACGTCGGTTGAATGGAACAAACAAAAATAAGTTATGTAGTGGTGAGAAGCAAGAAAAAATTAAAAAATTTTGGGGTGGACCACCCTTATCACTTAGGGGTATAAAAAATTGCTTAAAACCTATTCTCAGACCTACCGAATATACATATAAAATTTCATAAAAATCGGTAAAGCCGTTTCGGAGGACGAAGGTAACTAAAACTGTGACATGAGAATTTTATATTTTAGATTAGGAAAAATATATTGAGCGTGCCCGTATACATTGGATGCTAATCCACGTGCGAACAATGCATCTTATTGGTTGTTTTATACAGTCAACGTTGACTCCAGGAATATCTTATTGGTTAGATTTTTTAGCGGCATATTTCTTTGAAGCGGTGTCTTTGGCGGCATATTTCTTTGAAGCGGCCACCGCTTGCTAATCAGTTTCGTCTGGAAAGACAGTGCAGTAGATAGTTTTAATAAATTTCTCTTACTCCGCCAGTGCTTCATGAAGAAAACGCCGACGGCCAAAGGAATATTATTTTTTTTAATGTCTCATTTGACTATCGATAGACTATACTCCTGGTCTATTATAACTGTTATATTGTGCCTGATGAATTCTTTCCAAAAACTTAGAATGCATGTCGTAGATACTTACGACAAACAAATGGCCGTGAGGGTTTGTTCAGTTACAAAAATAGTTGTTCTTAAATTTTTTGACATCAACAAATTAGCTGGGGAAATATAGTCAAAAATTGACATATTTCGATAATACAATAAAGCTAAATATACAGGGTGTCAATTTGAAAACTTCCCACCCCTATTATCTCGGAGTAGAAAAGTTTTCAAAAAAATCCCTGAAACACGTCAACTATAATATGAAGGGGGATGAGTTTTTATGCAAAATTCACCTTCCCTCTTTCAACCCCCCAGCCCCCAAAGCCACCCCCTAGACAATTTTAAATGGGAAGGGGGGTCAAGTGATACATCATTTTGAAGGGTTTTTGATTCCATACATTGTGGTACAAAATTTTAATCCCTAAGTTCAACTGTTTTGGAAATATTGACAGTTGAAAATTGACTTTTTTGCAACTTTGACAGGCTGTAAAACCTAAACGGTTAATTTTAAAAGAAAACCGATCTTACATTCTTATTTTAAATTTTTATAAACTGTCATTTGACAGCAACTTCGAATTTAATCCACGATCAAAAATTCCGGTTGAAAATTTAATCTCCAGTTAAATTCAAAAATGGTATCAAGTGATAGTTTATGAAAATCTAAGATAAGAATGTAATATCGGTTTTCCTCTAAAATTAACCGTTTAGGTTAAGGTTACAGGCTGTCAAAGTAGCAAAAAAGTCAATTTTCAACTGTCAATATTTCCAAACCAGTTGAACTTAGGTTCTGAAATTTAGTACCAAAATGTATGGAATTAAAAACCCTGCAAAATGATGTATCACTTGACCCCCCTTCCCATTTAAAATTTTCTAAGGGGTGGCTCTGGGGGCTGGGGGGTTGAAAGAGGGAAGGTGAATTTTGCATAAAAATTCATCCCCCTTCAAATTATAGTTGATGTGTTTCAGGGATTTTTTCGAAAATTTTTCTACTCCGAGATAAAAGGGGTGGGAAGTTTTCAAATTGACACCCTGTATGTATATCTTTGTGTTCCTCTAGAACTTTTTTAAACATATTTTTTGCTGTTTGAACAGTTCTCTGCCATTTGATTTGGCATAGGTGGGAGAACTAATTATGTGAGATAATTCCCATTCTTTACTTTACAAATAATTCTAAATACACGAATTGAGGTCAACCGTCAGAAATAACTACCTCAGGAATACCATGTCGAGCAAACATAGACTTCATAATTTCAACTATTGTGGAGCTAAATGTGTCACTACTCAATTTCTTGATTTCTATGTATTTTGAGTAATAATCAGTTAAAAGTAAATATTTCACGTCATATTCGTCGCTTTTCTGACAAATGGGCGTAAGCGACAATATTTCTAAAATACAGATTATTCCATGAAAATATCTCTATGGAGTATATACAGGGTATCCCAAAAGAACCGGAACGGTCAAATATCTCGGCAACGGCGTGACATAACGGTATAGAATTTGATATACGGAGGTTCTTAGTAGTGCCGGATCTGAAAATCATATTTTCAACGTTGCCGGATTTATAGTTTTTAAGATAAATCTCTCAACTTTATTTTTTTAAATGCTAAGCTACAATAATTTTTTTTTTTTAAATGTTGGTCAAACTAAAGTGTTTTCAATCCTAAAATATCAAATTTTTCTTTTGTGGTTTTTAAAAGATATGGCAATACTGCATTTCCATTCAAAAGAACTGAAATGGTAAAATATCTTAGCAACAGCTTAATACAACGTTATGACATTTTGGTATACAGGGGTTTTTAAAAGTGCCGGAACTAAAAATAATATTTGCAACGTTGCCAGTTCTACAGTTTTTCCGATAAATTTCTCAACTTTAGTTTTTTCAATGCAAAACTATGGTAGTTTTTCATTTAAAATGTTGGTTAACCCAAAGTGTTTACAATCCTAAACTATCAAATTTTTCTTTTGTGGTTTTTAAAACATATGGCAATGCTGCATTTTCATTTAAAAGAACTGAAACAGTAAAATATCTTGGCAATGGCTTAATACAATGTTATGACATTTGGTATACCTACAGAGGTTTTTAAAAGTGCTGGGTCGGAAAATTATATTTGCAACGTTGCCAGTTTTACAATTTTCCCGATAAATCTTTTAAATCATATGCGTCGCTATGGTAGATTTTCAATTAAAAAGTTGGTCAAACCAAAGTCTAGGATTACTAAATTTTTTCTTTTTCGAATTTTTAAAGATATGGCAATAATTCTTTCTCATTTAAAAGAACTGGAACGGTGAAATATCTTACCAATAGCGTAACATAATGTAATATTATTAGAAATTATTTATTTAAGTGTTTAAATAATGGACTTTAGAAATTTCATATTTTTTTTATTATAGTTCCGATTTTTATAAAATATTTTAAACACTTAAAAATCCATAACTCGAAAACTAAACAATCATTGGAATTCATACCTAATGAGGTAGAACAGCTCCAGAAGAATTCAAAAACTGTGTTTCGACTTTTTCAAAATTTCAATATTTTTTTGTATTTTGATTTTTTTTCTTAAATTCTGACATGTTTCCGTGGCCCGTATGATATCCAATCCTAAAAGATAACCAAATTACGAATCATTTAATACCTTTTTGGACCCAATTGGTAAAATAGAAATTTTTTAAAAAATCTAAAAATTTCAACTTGACATGAAATTTTACCATAATACTATACGTGAGTTATTACAGACTTGGCAAATAATGTCCAATATTTTTGAACCCTTAATACGTTAAGTCTTTTACTTTTGTCGAGCTATCTGCTTTCCGACGACCTAGTTGTTTTTGTAGAAATGGTAATAAGAACATTGCTAGGATAAAGCAAATAAAAATTTAATGTAAAGTTAAAATTTCTAGGAGTTTTTATAATGAGTCGGGTCAAAAAAGGTCTTAAATAATTCGTAATTTAGTTGTCTTTTAGAATATTTATTTGATATTTGACCAAAGACGTCCATTACCGAGCAATTGGATATCATACAAGAACATGTCAAAATTTAAGAAAAAAATAAAATCAAAATACAAAAAAATATTAAACTTCTGAAAAAGTCGCACACGGTTTTTGAGTTTTTCCGATGCTATTCTACCTCACAAGTATGAATTCCAATGATTGTTTAGTTTTCGAATTATGGATTTTTAAGTGTTTAAAATATTTTATAAAAATCAGAACTTTAATAACATTTTTCTGAAATTTCTAAGGTCTATTATTTAAACACTTAACTAAATAATTCCTGATAATATTACATTCTGTTACGCCATTGGTGAGATATTTCACCGAACCAGTTATTTTAAATGAAAATGCATTATTGCCATATCTTTCAAAATGCGAGAAAGAAAAAATTAATAATATAGACCTAAAATTATTTTGATTTGACTAACATTTTAAATGAAAAACTACCATAGTTTTGCATTTAAAAAACTAAAGTTGAGAGATTTATCAGAAAAACTGCAAAACTGGCAATGTTGCAAATAATATTTTTAGATCTGGCACTTCTAAAACTGTCTGTATACCAAATATCATAACGTTGTATTAAGCCGTTGCTGAGATATTTTACCATTTCAGTTCTTTTAAATGAAAATGCAGTATTGTCATATCTTTTAAAAATCACGAAAGAAAAATTTAATATTTTAGGATTGAAAACATTTTGGCTTGACCAACATTTCAAATGAAAAACTATTATAGTTTTGCATTGAAAAATCTAAAGTAGAGAGATTTATCGGAAAAACTGTAGTTCTGGCAACGTTGCCAATATTATTTTTAGATCCGGCACTTTCAAAAACCCCTGTATACCAAATGTCATAACGTTGTATCAAGCCGTTGCTAAGATATTTTACCATTTCAGTTCTTCTAAATGAAAATGCAGTATTGCCATCCTTTAAAAACCACAAAAGAAAAATTTGATATTTTAGGATTGAAAACAATTTGGTTTGACCAACATTTTAAAAGAAAAATCACTGTAGCTTTGCATTTAAAAAAATAAAGTTGAGAGATTTATCGGAAAAACTATAAAACCGGCAACGTTGCAAATTTCATTTTTAGATCCGGCACTATTCAGAACCCCCGTATACCAAATTTCATACCGTTATGTCACGCCGTTGCCGAGATATTTGACCGTTCCGGTTCTTTTGGGATACCCTTTATATGATCTGACTAACGGGCGTAATTGTAGAGGTAATATTTTCCCTTTTAGAACGTGGTTGGTATGGGCGGAAGCGACATTAAAAGTAACCGCAGGATCTTACAAAGAGGCGTATATGCCGGAAACGAATTTACGCCTTTTTGTCAGATTTCCAACTAATAATGTTTGGCTGATGTGCCCCCGATGAGCTATAACTTCGCACCGGCAACCATGTATAGTTAGGGAGACGACCGCATTTTTCCTACCCCGATCGAGTTATGTGTCGACAATATTATCAATATATAGTATTAGGTGCATCTATTAACCGGTATTCCTGCCTGAGAGCAAATGCTGCCGGAAATATCTTTTAACAAATTATTAACAAATTGAAAAAAACGTAACACTACCCCCATCGAGTTATGCCCTAAGTAGGGTATCAGATTAAAGGTCTCGATGTCCCCTATCTAAAAAGTCGATCCTGCCTCGGGAGAACTTGCCGGAAAAGGGTGGCAGGGCAGCTTATTGGGGCAAGGGCCCGCGGTCTCAGCTTTGACACCTATCAAGTTTTACCCTGAATGATGTGTCAAATTAAAGGTGTTAATCATAGACAATAAAAAATAAAAAGACCTTCAAAAGTAAAGCCGAAATAGGTTATACTATTACTGCGCATCCGGTTGCGCATAGCGCATTGCGGAATTTTTGGAAAGCTAGAGACTCACGAGAGATCAGTCCGATCATTCGATTCTGTTTTATCTTTCTCTGTCATACCAATTCACAAGACAAGGACACCGTATGAGTTACAGAGCTTTCCTAGCTGTTTTGTAGAAACCTATCAAACATCCACAACTATAGAAACTGTGACCGAGAAAACAAATAAGTAACCTTAAAATAACGACATTTCCGTGTTGAAATTTGTCATTTTTAACTGATTGGGCGGTCGTCTAAGAAGACTCGAACTCACAAAATCTAAAGAACAAAAAGAAGAAATTGTCATTTTTATTAAGGCGCTCGGTATCGTGTACCTATAATATTATGTACAACTAGGATAAACTGAACCAGTAAGTATACATGTTAGTTTTGTGATATACGGCATATTTTTTTACTGTTTTAGGAGACCTCAGTCAGAAGAGATAAAATGTAGATGTTAGGCCTTGGCCAGCTTAGCTTGTACATACATTAAAGCATGTATAAGGGATGTAATAACTGTGTTTGTAAACTCTTTAGGTATTTGACCTATCTAGCTTTAATATATATTTTTTCTAGTACAATTTAGTGTTTATTTTGCCTTTTTTTTTTAATCTACATCAAAAAATGGCACAAAACTTTATGGAGTACCACATCATTTTTCTCATTCAGATTTGAGAAAAAAGATGTGGAACAACATAAGTAAGTTTTTTGTGCAATCAACTCGAGTCAAATTTCAAAATTCCCGCCATTTCAGTATTTGTTCCGGCTGCCACTATTGACGCCACCGTCGCTGTGACGTCAGCGCTATACAAACTTGCATGTTAGCAATCAGGTACTCTTACCTTGGTTTATTATATTTCTCTATGGTGTTAATAAGTTGATTCAAGGTCTCTTCGCACAGAAATCCTAAACCAGAAGGAGTGAATTTCATTGGTTGAAACTAGTTTCCTGACTGTTTCCAACCAATGAAATTCGCTCTGACTGGTTTGTGATTTCTGTGCGAACAGACCTTAAATCAACTTATTGACACCTTTAATTTGACACATCATTTAGTGCAATGCTTGATAGGTGTCAAAGCGGGCCCTTGCCCCAATAAGCTGTCCTGCCACCCTTTTCCGGCAAGTTCTCACGAGGCAGGATCGACTTTTTAGATAGGGGACATCGAGACCTTCAATCTGATACCCTACTTAGGGCATAACTCGATGGGGGTAGTGTTACGTTTTTTTCAATTTGTTAATGATTTGTTGAAAGATATTTCCGGCAGTATTTGCTCTCAGGCAGGAATACAGGTTAATAGATGCACATAATACTATATATTGATAATAGTGTCGACACATAACTCGATCGGGGTAGGAAAAATGCGGTCGTCTCCCAGACTAGTAGCATTGATTCATAATCATTTCGTTCGCTTCCTGGAGGTGTTAACCCTGCAAGGTTTTCTACATTTTTTCTGTTGAAAGTGAAGATATTAAGTTTGAGTTTGAGTGTGCCTTTTATTGCAGTGGTATCTTTTTATAGGCAAGTTATCAGTAGTTATAAGCAAAAACAACATGAAAAAGATGGCACGCACCCTAAGAACAGAAGGAAAAGCATACGTGAGCCCCTTTTTGAGAAAGCAAGTTCCGCAAAGAATCATGAAGCCGTGATGTGATTCTCAAAAATGTAAAAATTATGGCTGCAAGTTGTTTACTGAAGAATAATACCAAGAAATATTTCATGCTTTCTACAATATACAAAGTCTTCAATTACAGAGGGAGTTCGTTGTGCGCCATATCAATGAGAATGATGTTAAAAAGAGAAGAACTGCTGCAACAGAGTTCATAAGAACAAGAACTTTGGCTTATTGTTTACCAAAGGCAGAGGATCATTAACAGTTTGTAAAATTACTTACGTTTCAGAACACACTGGCAGTTTCCGGAAAAGCAGTTCGGACGGCAATAAGCAAGAGAACGGTGGAAGGCATAGTTCTGTTCGATAAACGTCTAGGGGCGTTGCATTATGCAAACTTGAAAAAAAAAGACGAATTTATGAGAGCCTCGGCTCTGGCTCATATACAAAAGTTCCCAAAAATGGCGTCGCTCTTTTGTAGAAAATCGACTTCAAAAGAATATTTACATCCCGACTTAAACGTGAAGCAAATGTTTAACTTGTACCAAGAAGAGAGCCTGGAGCAGCCAAAATGCAGCTACCATACTTACCCTAGAGTATTTGAATCACTGAATCTGTCCTTCCACCATTCCAGGAAGGACCAATGCAGTCTTTGTTTGTCGTACAGGGAAGGTGATGCAAATAAAAAATTAGAGCTTCGAGATGCATACACTGAAAATGTCGCCGAGAAAAACACTGTGTGCAAAAAGAATTAGGATGTTAAGGAAATGTCCAAAAACAACCCAGCTTTAATAGCTGCTGCTGTTTTTGACATGCAACAAGTTATTCAGTTACCTAAAGTAATAGTTGGGGAGCTGGCGTCAAAAACATGCAAGAGTTTTCGCAAGGCGGATATTTTCAAAATAGGTCGTACTTTAGTGCTAGAATGCTAGTGTACAGTCAGCACTCACAGTTCCGGGACAGCTGGCTCTGGGACGCGGGCAAAGTTGTAATTTTAAGAAGCATCTAAACTGTTTTCTCAAAGCTCAAAATTTATAGAAATTTTGCACATTATCTGTTTGAAGGTCACAGATAACGTATGTAAATCGTCAGACGTCTAGTTCCTTGCAAAAAGGGGGTCAGACGTCCTCAAAGTTTTTATTTTATGGCATTTTCTTCGGTGTCCTGTCAAAATATATTTTTGCAGGTATTTGACAAATATATTTGAAGAAAATGCCATAAAATAAAAACTTTGAGGACGTCTGACCCCCTTTTTGCAACGAACTAGACGTCTGACGATTTACATACGTTATCTGTGACCTTCAAACAGATAATGTGCAAAATTTCTATAAATTTTGAGCTTTGAGAAAACAGTTTAGATGCTTCTTAAAATTACAACTTTGCCCGCGTCCCAGAGCCAGCTGTCCCGGAACTGTGAGTGCTGACTGTACACTAGCATTCTAGCACTAAAGTACGACCTATTTTGAAAATATCCGCCTTGCGAAAACTCTTGCATGTTTTTGGCGCCACCTCCTGGACTATAAAGAAAATGCATTGTCTTATCGTCGTCGTTTGTCGGTATTTACCTTCAGTATTCACAATATAGGCAATAGAGAGTGCTACTGCTTCTCTTGGTCGGAAGTTATGAGTAAAAGCGGTGCCAATGAAATGTCTACATGGTTGGCAGATATTTACACAACTGGACAACCAAGGAATAAAAGAAGAAAGCAGCCTCTTCGCAGATGGTTGTGGTGGCCAGAACAAAAATACAATTACAAGTAAGATGAAGACAGAGTCTCCATCTATTTTCTGATCGGCACACTAAAAATTGCAACCAACAACTGTATAAACCAGTATTAAATTAGAGCAAATCGACTCGCAAAGGCATTCGCCACAATTGCGAGAATAGCTATTCTAGATGCCAACCAGAAGTTAAGTCGGTTGGTACCGAAAAACATTGATTTTAATTAGGTAACGGCCCAATTAAGGACCGATTGAGAAGTGTTTTATCTCTGCAGGACCATCCGTGGACGCGTTTTTTTACCTTGACTGCGCACGCAACTCGTGGGTTGCAGGTGAGCGTCCAATGAGAAGCGAGTTTGTTACAGGCTTGCGTCATATTCTTATTCAAGGGCCAGTTCAGAATTGATCGTTCCTTCTTTCTTTGTAACGTGTAATTCGACAAAGAGCAAACTAATACTTTACGTATTACTTCTAAACTCACCGCAGTTTAGTTTAAAGTTATGTTAGATTATACTTGACATAGTCCTTTGCAATTTCATTGTGCGATGTTGCCGGATGAAACATTTATCAAAATAAAAGTGCAAACGATGTTAACATACACTTTAAAGCTCTTCTTTTGTCTGATATCAGGTGTTGTAAAACACTATATCACTTCTTTAATGGTATAATGTTCGATTTGCATTCTCTACATTTGTTCTGCAACAATACAATCTGGCTTCATTGCAACCCACTTGTTGCGCGCGCATGTCATCTTTTATTTTCTAACTTGTATTTATTACAATTAAGCTCTCTTTTTCTATTTGTGCGAGATAGGTCAATTGAGAAACCGGCACTAACTGTGTGTTCGGTATTATGATCTGAGTTCTCCGAGCTTGAATTTTCCGTTCATTTATTTAAAAATTGTGCTCGGTGCAGGCTCATTCGCGTTCGTTTATTAAAATTTCGAGGGCTCTGATACAGCGTTTATGATGGGTACTTCACATTGTTCTCATGTCGAGCGTAGCCCAAGTACAACGCTATAATTTTGCATGTGCAGTATGTGCCCAATATTGGATCCCCTCCATCCGGCTCAGGGGAGAGCAAAAATGATACAAAAAGAAAATCTTTCGTTACTTGTTTTGTGTGAATTATGTGAACCCCGAAAATATTTTGATATGTTCCGTAAGTTGTAGTTCTTAAAATGCTCAAGAACGATTATAGGAAAAGTTGGAGGTTTTCTCTTTGAATCCTTTCATGAAGGGCATTTTCAATATTTTGCAGCAGTTCCAACATTCTGTGTGATAATTCATCACTTTCGTCCGGCATATGAATTGAATGACGGTATGCATCAAAACATTCTGCCACCCAATCTAGCCATAGCCCGGAAAACTGACCAATCAAATCCGATGTGGCTATTTTGGGTGGCATAATGTTACTACATGTCCTGAATCAGGGGTCTGAATGTCGGGACGATAATGGAGCTATTTAAAGGGATAGAATGTTGTTGCATGGGCTAGATTCAGGGTCAGAATGTTACAGGCGATAGAGCATTAGTATTAAATTTAACAAACAATGTTTGATGTTGAAAAATCTATTACTGTCTTTTGTACCGTGCATTCAATTTATCTTGATAACATTTTAATTCGCTGTAACTTTTTTGTTTTTGAAGGTATCAAGGTAAACAAAAAAACAAAATGTAGGGTTGGTAGCCAAGTTTTTTTTCAAAGTACCTATAAAACAAAACACTATCAATTTTATGACATATGAGCCTACATTATATTTTTTCAAATGGAACACCCTGTATATTATATATGCGTTTGATAGAATATCTTATTTCGATTAGAATGATATAACACACTTTATATTTTAGTCCACTCGTTTTTGACAAATCGGCAAAAATATGAAATTTTTATATGCACTATCAATGATTCTCCCCCCAAATATCAGATCGCCGCCTAATAAGTTTCACTTCAAAAGTTTCAATCATCGTAATCGGAATAACATATTCTATCAAACACATATATAATATACAGGGTGTTCCATTTAAAAAAAATATAATGTTGGCTCATATGTCAAAAAATTGATAGTGTTTTGTTTTATAGGTAACTTGAAAAAAAACTTGGCTACTAACCCTACATTTTGTTTTTTTGTTTACCTACCCTTACCACCTTGATACTTTCAAAAATAAAAAAGTTACAGCGAATTAAAATGTTATCAAGATAAATTGAACGCACGGTACGTGTTATTCAATAGGCTCGTTCAGCATATTTTTTTTATTACATATTCTAAAAGAGCGTATTGAGTTTAGCAGTTGTGCAAAATTTCATAATTTTCCGAGCCCTTGTTCATATTTAAATAAATTATCAAAAAGCTCCAAGTTTGGAAATTTTGAAACACGCGGTGACGTCACTGCATCTCTCAAGTTGGTCGTGTGACGGCCTTTAGCCCGTCTTGACTTGAGAGATGACGTCATACCATCTCTAAGCGATGAATTTCTGAGGCATAATGTTTTATTATTCAAAGCCGCATAACTTTTTTAATATTTATCCAATTGCGCTGAATTTTTTTTTGTGTGCTATATGTGAGTAATACTCCATAAAAAAATCAAAAAACGTGGTTAATGGAACCTCACTGAACGAGCCTATTCAGAAATTTACATTTTATTCGTGTTCCCAATGGATTTTTTTCATGAATATATTGAATAACTTGTTAGTTTTTTGATTGAAACGGAGGAATTAAGAAATATTTCCATTTTGGATGTAAGGGGTTAATAAATTTAGATTTAGCATCAGGTGTTTTACCCTAATTAAAAAAGCACGTACATGTAATAAAAAAAAAGGAAAAATAGTACCTACATTGATGGCCGTTTGCACCGACTGTTTTAAGGAAGCCTTAACGATAAGTCTACGTTAAAATGACATTTTTGCATGGGAAAATGTCACTTTAAGGAATACTTTCTTATCGTAAAGCCTTCCATAAATTGGTCGGTGTGATAAGCCATTGATGTAGGTACCTACTATTTTTCTTTCGCACGATAAGTGTTTTCACTCACATTCGAATAAACATACATTGTGGGTAGTTTTATCGAATATCGAATCCATCTTCAACATGAATAAATATTAAGATGTCTTCGCATAAATTTCAATAGAGCAATGAGCGACAAATAAACAAAACATGCGGCATTTCTAACGGACAAGTCCAACAGGCCGTCCCGACATTCTGACCCCTGATCTAGCCCATGTAGTAACATTATGCCGCTCAAAATAGCCACATCGAATTTAATTGGTCAGATTTCCAAGATATGGCTAGATTGGGTGGCAGAATGTTTTGATGCTGACGGTATTCATTTACCAGAGCGCAAGCTATCTTTAAAGAATATGATAAGTTTTACCAGTTTTGCATGGGAATTGAATCCCCAAAAAATGTAAACAAAGATTTTAAATGTCCATTGCTTGACTGCACAATCCAAGGTGTCTCAGTAATCTTACGAGCATTATTTGCTTCCTCAGTTGTAAATTGTTGGCGATTTCTGGCCAAAAAAGGCGATATTTCACAAGAATTTTATCACATTAAATGACATCCCTCTATGTGATATAAGCTTTATTTTAAGACGAAATTTTTTTAAAATCGGACAAAAATTAGAGAAGTTACGGGCAAATAAAATCAAGCGCGACCTTTTTAGTAACACTATTTCTAAGAATATAGGGCAGGATTTCTAAAAGAATACGCAAGCTTTGCCACCCTGTATAGTATATTAGGGTCATCCAGACTATTTATTTGCGAAATTGAAAACAAAAATTCCGATATGTACTTAGCTTGCAGGACGCGCCCACATTTATAATTAAAAGGCTTGTTTTATGATTTTCGAACTCACTTTTTTGGGTCACCCTGTATAGTTAGAGATTTGGTGTAAAGATGAAAAATGCTAATTTTTGTTAGTACTACAACACACCAAATTTTTAAAAAATCGC